CACACTGTGTCATCCATCTACACACAGAAATGCAAATATAACCCACCATTTGAACTACACATGCATATACACACACGCATGCAGTTGCAAATATATACACATATCCATGTCAACCAGTGCAGGTAAAACACTCACACGCACACAGTTTTTGTAGTACTGTGTTTATCTATTGTATTTTCTTTGCAGTAGCACTCACTATGTGCTAAGTGATTTTCCAGGGCTCCTGAGGATCAAAATGGTGCAAATCCAAGACACAGTGCCGGGGAAGAGCATTGGGAGACAGGGAATCAAGCCCAAGTCAACCCCTTATTCCCTCTTCAGTGTTTATGCCAAAACAATTTGTCCAGTTACAGAAAAGCTCCTGGTAAAATACACTGCACTGCACTGGATGACGTTTCTTTTCTTTCATCTTTGCCTCAGTGAAAAGGCTCTTCCTTAAAATGCCAGGACCAACAGAAAGTTGGTAATTAGGTTTTCTAAAGATAATTTTATTAATTACTTTAATGTGAAATTAGGGACTAATCAGTGGGGTCACTGCCTTTTATAAGGCAATACTTCTGTTCTCATGTGTATGAGCTGTGCCCGACAGAGAAGGCGAACCTGGAGAAAGAGCTGGATGACAGCCAACTCAAACAGCCTCCTCTTTCCCTTTTTCAGTTACATATAACTGAAGCAGAGTAACAAGGATATACTTGAAACTCTGACATATATTTATTGAACACTTTTACCTAGAAGGAACCACTGGCCTTTGAAACCAGAAACTGTATCTTTACTATAGCAAAAAAAAAAAAAATCATGTAGAAATGTACATAAATGACAAACCGAGATCCCGGTATGAGAGGAATGGCTATAGCCCATACCCTGGATCCATCTCAGTCATCAGTGCTAAGACTATTTTAGACCTTGCGTACAAATTTAACAAAAATCCTTCAACATCATGGACTTTTATATGGCGATGAACTGCTCTGAACTGTCTCCTGTGTCAGTGCTGGCCCAGGTGGGCTGTTTTATAGCTTGTAGTTCCAGAACCATTAAAGAGACAAAACTAGCTGGTTAAAAGAAAAAAAAAAAGAAGTGAATGGCTGGGACAAATCATAAGATGAGCCAAAGAGAGAGAGGAAAAAAAAAAAATCTCCCCCCCAAAGATTTTTTCCCCAGGAGAGTCTAGAGACTAAATAATCAAAAGATGAAATGAGGGGATAATTCTGATCATGCTAAGGTTTTGCGGTTTTTTTGGATTGGACAAATGTTTTAATTCCCTTTCACCACAGAGGACAAAAATCGCAGAGGGGGTAAACGAAGAGAAATATAGGGAAGTCGACGTTCTTTGAAGGAACAACATGTGGTGACCAGGCATCAAAAATGGATGTTATAAATCTTTCCTTGGTAGAATTACCTAAGGAAGACATTGCAGTTTTGAATAAAAGCTTGGGCTTTTAAACCCACAAAGGAATCCGGCAAATTAGATTGTAACCTGGACTGTTACAAATTTTGTAGTAACCTTTCAAACGCTTCCCTGCAAGATGTGCAGGATACTGAGAATTCACTTGTTAATACAGATGTGGTCAATAAAGAAAATGACCATACGGGAATCTGATACTTTGAAAGAAATCTCCTTTAATCCACGAGTCACTAACTTTTCCTGTTGCCTTGGTCTCACATGAGAGATAAAAATATAGATATCTTATTTGGAAAATACGAATCAAGAGTAGACACTTGTATGATTTAAGAGTAGGAATCTGACTCGTCCAAAGAAACATACTATACTCCTTTATGAGCAACTGGACTATTGTTAAGTTGTGGGAAGGAGTGGGGATTAGACAGTAAGTTGGTCATTAATTTGTAAGAAAAAATGTGCTTAGGTGGACAGTTTGATACCTTCCTGTGTAACAAGCCATTCTCACTGCCAAGAATAACAAACAAGTTGGACAAGATGCCCAGGTACTTCATTGGGGAAAATCCAATTTGGTGTAGGGAGGCTTTTGATCAGGAGCTCAACATAGTGAGAAGCTATTGGATTACAATATGGGATATCTGTTTACCAAATAGTATGGCATTTACATACTTTCTTGTTTCTTGATCTGGGGTAGTCAGCGGGTAGATTCTTTTAAAAATATTTTTAATATTTAATTCCTTACTGTGCCTTGCCACTGTTATAGCTATCGACAATGCATATAAAAGAACTGCTATCATCAAAAAATATATTCATTGAAAACACATAGGGTTGGGTCTTGCCAAAGGTGCAGGAATGTCACCGAGTGCTGGACTGGATGCATGGGCATAGACTGGTCCCCACTAAACAAGATACTCAGATACCGCAGCAATAAGCGTGACACAGACGCCTATGGAGATAGAGACACTTGCATTCTCTAAGATCCATTTTCCATTTGGCACAAATGCCTTGAGGAAATGCAATGGGCCTGATCCAATGCCCATTTAGATCAGTGGCATCACTACTGTCAGCTAACATAAGCTTTGAGTCAGGCGCGGTAAAAATGACTGCTGGGAAACAGGGAAGGGAAGGGAAGGGAAGGGAAGGGAGGGGGCCTTTGGGGCAGTCAGGTTTCCCACCCAGGACTAATAGCACTGGGTTGAATTTCAACTGGAAATATTCCATTTATTTCCTTGTTGCATACACTAACTTCTTTTGAGTGCTTTTTATAATTCAGAGGGGGAAAAAATTCTGGCTGAAAGCAGCTCTTCTTTTTGGTAACTCATAGTTTCTATGTGCCTAATCCAGCCATGTAATTATTGAGATTATGTTTTCAAACCAGGTACTTTGTGCACTTAAAATGCCTTTAAGTGCATCAAAGTAGCCACCAGTTACATGACCTAATACAATAAGAGCACATACAAATTGGCAGTTTAATTGTGTGCACAAGCAGTTTTGAAAATCATGCCCTAAGAGTTTCTCTCCAATGTGTCTTTGACAGTATAAAGCTAGTTCATCTTGCATTTACATTTTGATCATCGTGAAGCCTTTCAGCCGAAAACACGGGGCTTCTAACCGATTCCTTGCAACTTACCATCATGCGCTGTCTTTATCACAGGATCAGATACTTTATTTTGAATCTGAAACTGAAGCAAGACACTGACCAACCCAAAAATGCAACAGCTACTCCGGATAAATTGTCAAAGCGCATACAGTATGAAATACAGTATTACCATATAGGACCTTCAGAAACATTTCTGCATGTTTGAGGCTAATGAGAGAGATGAAGACTGAACACATCAGATTATACAATTTCTGCTTAGATGCCAAAACATAGACGAAGCTGCCATATATGCAGGCATTTAACCTTCCCAATGTTAGTCTTAATTTCTGCAGACTCACACAATCAACCAAGAAGTGCTAGTGCCTCATCTTGATATCTTTGGCTCCATAGGGGTTACTGGTTTCAGAATATTAAAAGTGTACACTTCTGCAACAATGTCATTACAGTGTTTTCATTCAAGAGGCAAACAGGTTTTAAATTAACAGCTGCCTGATTTGTTTAGCGAAAAGGGTCCAGTCACAGTTTAACTGAGAAAGATTTTTGAAAGAATAGGCTTGAATACAATGTATAGTTTTTACATTCTGGGATGTCATACTTTTGAAATATTTAAGCATATGAGGGTAAGAAGAAATACTTACAAGAAAAAAAGAAGTCAGCGTTATATAAAACTACATAAAAGGAAAGGTATCAGACCACTAGCAACTTTACAACACAAGATTTACTAATGCTTACACAATTAGACTTGCTACGAGGAGAACTGAAGAGTTTTCTTACCATGTATCAGTTTGCATGACAGACTAAATTTTGAACTTTTAAACACCCATATATTTAAAGTCAGAAAGTAATCTTCAAAAGATTAACAGAATGGCAAGAATTCATATGAAGCCCTGTCACCAGAAGCTTTTATCAAAATCAATTATATTGATCACAATTATCAAGCCTGAGCTATAAGCAGTACAATTATACAACACAGATACAATTTATTACAAGATTTTAATTTGCTGCACTGGGGTATGTTTCAGTGAATGCCTTTTCACTAAAGGAAGCCAATCCATATCACTCAGCAGAGCCTTCAGGCCTTTGGAAACATGTGAGACCCTGGGCTAAATCCTCAGTTAATGCAGATCTGCTTCCAAGTTCAATGGGACCTTGTCAATGAACGTGGAATGAGACTCTGGCTCAGTATCCCAAGAAACTGTGAGTTCAGTGCAAGTCCAAAATGCTATTATATGACAACTGTATTCACTTACATAAGGAGCCCCTTAAAAGAGAGGTGGTCCTGTTAACTCATTATATATAAATATCCTTTTATGTACATGCAGAAGTTACATGTACTACTGTTACACGAGGCAGTACAGCATCTGTTTCACGCTTGTGGCTGTGTCACTCCCAGAAGTTGTTCCACAGAGGATAACCCTTACTACTACTACTACTTCTACTACAATTAATAGAGTTAAGTATCTGGACCAAATATTCTTAAGCTCTAGCCAAAGGCACCATAGGTGATATATGCTGTGTTTATTCTGGCCAGGGAATAGTTACATGTTTAAGATTCTTTGATTTTAAGGAAGTGGAAGGAGGACAAACCACAAAGATGATAACTTGGGATGAAAGAGTGGCCTTGCTAACAGTGGTAATAGTTTTTGGACTGGATCCTGCATTATGTTGTATGTGGGAGGATGTCTTTCTATACCTACAAGAACCACATTTTAGACCAGGGCTTAGCTTGGTCTTCTGCCAAATTATGTGGGTAATTCTATAGGGAGTAACTTATATTTACTTCTCCGCACATTGCAAAGGAAAATGTCTCTCAAACACACAGGAGCAATACATATATGGCACTGGTAGAGGAAAAAAATCAGGAGGCATAACTGAAGCAGGAAACTTCCTTGCTGTATAGAATTCGTTTTCAGCTTAATTATAACTTTCTATGATTCCAGACTCAAAAAAACTACAAATCAAACCTGAAGACAGAGGGATGCAGGTTTTTCCATTATTACATACCTGTATGGAAGCAAAATCCCTAGAAGCGCAAGCTCCAAGAATAGCAGCACCAACTAAAACAGATTCCACTTCTTGGGACAGGACAACAGGCTTGCCTATACAGGAAAGAAGTACACCTCTGTTAGGGAGAATGAAGTACCATAGCACTAAATACACAATAAATAATTACAGTTAAAAAAAAAAGAGGGAGGCTGGGAGAATCTGTGTATGAACTAAGTTCATAGACTCTGCACAGCTACTGCTTCTACTACAGGTCAGTGTAGCATGATTCCCTTAATTACCCCAAGCTCTAAGCAAAATGCAGAATTTATACAAAATAACTTTGGTAAAATGTAAGACACAAATTGCACTGAAAAATATCTTCCCAACCCAAACAACACCATTTGCCCACTATAAAAAAAGATACCTACAGGGGAAAGAAAAGTGAGCTATGGCCCTTTTTTTTTTTGCTTCTATGTAAAGAGTTAAAAAAGTGAGAGAGTCCCGTTTCCCTTCCCTACATATATATGCTGGGTCATATATATGCTGGGACAAAAATGCTGGGTCTAATCTTCTGTTTTTGCTGAAAGGTCTAAAAATATGAGCTGGGGGTTTCCTCAAACCTTATATGAAATCTTTTCCACTTTACCTGAATTAGACTTTATAACCGAAGTAATATCATAAATCTATTCGTTTTCCAACTTCCATAATCCTCCAGGAAAGAAATGGGTCTCTTCCACCCAGTTCAGTGTGGAAAAAAAAAAAAAAATCAAGCAGAAAAAATATATGGGGGTACAAAGAAAATACAAATGTTTTCATTTTCTTCACAGCCCATTAAAAACATAGAAAGGGAGCAAATCTGATTATTTTCCTAGCTTCAGGCTATCTTGCAAGTTATTGTTGCAAATGATTTGTTGGTATTTGTACAGTATTGAATACATTTGTGAATCCTCTGACTATCTGTGACTGGGTGAAGGAAATGCTTGCTTCTGTGGATGGATGAGCCAGTCCTGACAATAACAAGCAGGGCTTGGTCACATGTCTGCAAGGAGTAAAAGTGACTAAGATGATGCTGAAACTGCTAAGCCACTTGCTACTTCTACATAAGCCTGCCCACACGATGAGGCCTGGGAATTTCTATGCATATCCTCATGGATTTTCCTTCATACTTCAAAGTGGAAAACATAATTATGAACACAAAAACCCATCATTCAACATTCAGGAAGCCAGACATGTAGCTGCAATATAGCAGATCTGCGCTTTCCCATGGGCACAAGCTGGACAGTGGGACCCTTGTAGTAACATGGAGCTGCCTTCCATACTACCCTACCACCTCGTAGCTGGCACAAAAGGAGTGACTGGGGCAAACTGGATCTAGCCAGAGCTTCCTGTGCCCTGGTGATTCTTGCTTGCTGGAATGGCCCCTGCCAGGGAGATGTAATTGTGTAAACTGTGGAAATTTAGACCAATCTCTAAAAGTTTTTTAAGATGTTCCCAAAAGGCATCAGTCCAATATCGGTGGCTCTAGAATTGGCCATCTTTGTATTCCTCCTCCAAATCTGCAACTACAGGTCAGGATTTAGACCTATAACTTGAATATGCCTGGACCAACTAAAAGGAAAGTTCACCGCTAGTCTCAGTATTGGTAGACCTTTGAAGTACCGAGTAACTTGCAGCATGCTTTAAAACATCCTGACTATTTCCCAGTCTTCAGAATGAACATATTCATCTTGCCATTTCAACTGATACTTTAAAAGTGGCCTGTGAATTTCTCTGCTGATAGTCTGCGTGGTTGAGCAGAATGGGCACTTACAGCTAACAGTAATATATTCAGATTTTTTTCTTTTCCTTAAAGAATGGGGGATTGATCCTGGAATGTGAGTTATTTTATCGGACAGGCTCTAATGAGTTCAACAGAACCAAGAGCATTTCAGTTAGATGAACTCTGACATCCCTTGTCAGTCACACATTTCACAAACCAGGAGAATTCCAAGACTGCAAAAAGGCCTTTTTGTCTGGAATTGTACTTGGCTGTTAGTTACAGTCCAGAGACTCCTGATTAAATTTTAATCAGAATACCTATTAATAAAGCTTTTATAGTAGACATCACAAAGCAGTTTCCAATAGTGAGCCTATTTGCAATTAACTCACTTTAAGCTATCTCTTAGTTAGATAAGGAAAGGTGTGGAGTTGATAAAATCGTGCTTGACAAACAGAAAGCACCACTATGATATACTACATCCACACAAGCCTTGGTCGTGTCATTTGCTTCTCTGCTTCTGCTTTCGTTTACTATAATTACATAATGCAGACTTTCATCTTTCTTCCTATCCCAAGGTAAGAAGTTGTGTTTGATGTGAAGGTAATTCAAATCTCCACACCAAATACCCCAAATCTGAGCTTTAAATTTATCCAAAACAGCTTGACCATTCCTCATTTGAAAGTCATCCAACCCATATACAGTTCAAGGTTTCTATAAAGTCTTTTTAAGTAAATTATATTATTTTTCTAAATTTTTACAGTATATTGAATTGATGTGCAGATGTTGGACAATACCATGCCTATGAAGACTGCATGGAGATTATAAATGCAGTGCAAGCTTGCCATTTGCTCCTATAAAAATATAAACCAGGCCCTTTATCTTTGTGAAATTCTATCAAATGAGAGACAGCAGGAGTAAAGATGTACAGAACTGGGTCCTATAGTACCTGAATTACATGAGCACCCAAGGAACTGAGATAAGAAAGACTATGTAATCAAGCAAATGTTCAGTATAAACAATGGATGTTAGGGGAAGTCAGTACTCAGCTGAGATGAAGCCACTGTTATTTTTCACGTTCCATAGAAAAAGGTATAGGGCTAGATTTGCAGAATCTGGTTTAACTAACAGAACTGAATAATTTCTATAGAAGGCTTAAACCAACATAAACTTTTACACTGAATTACATCCCTGCTACACCATTTAATGGGACATTTTTTTTAAAGTCTCTAGGTGGATTACAATTTGCCATTAAGTTTTCCTGCATTTTCTCCTAGAAATGGCAAAGTAGTGCCCTGTGTGTTTCTGAGAAGCCTATTTGTTAATAATGTGGACTAGATACTTTTGTTTCCACCGCATCTTTGTGTCAATCCAATGCCTTTAGGTGTCCGAAAATCCACTTTCAGGAAGTAGCATTTCATTACACAGTTTTTGGCCAACCAGCCAAGCAGAGTTCCATATAAAGAGAGCATTTATTTTTCCAAACACAAAGTTTTTAGTCACCTAAAATAATACAGCAGTTTACTCTCCTTCCCCCACTTCCTCTGTCTAGCTTACCAGTAATGTCAGCATGCATCTGCACAAAGAGGGGGTTCTTCCTCAGCCCACCACACAGAAACAGCGTGTTGATGCGGTGCCCTGCAGCCTGCATAGTTTCCAAAATGTGTCTTGTTCCTAACTTCAAAGACAGAAAAAGACTGATGTGCTCAGGAGGAAAACACGCCCATAAGAGAACCTACACTAAGTGATTATAAGGGAGATGGAAATGTATGGCTATTGGGAGCCCCTTACAGTAACCTAAGGACAACAAGTAGGTCAACGGAGTTAAGGATTCAGCTTCATTCTTGGCCACTAAGAAGCACTGTGGCTGCATCGACACGAGATGCCGACTGTGCTGCATTTGCATACACAAGTACTAAAGCACTGTGCAGTAACTGGAGTTACTGCACAGTAGCATCCCTGAACGGCTTTTTGGTGACGCTGACTGCACTGCAGCTCATACTACTGTGCAGTAGCGCCGTGTCACGCTTTATGCCATGCAACACTACTGCGCAGTAGCCACAAGATACCGCATCATGTACACCCAGCCAGTCTAACTCTCAAATATTAGAAACAAGAGAAGTCAAAGAGGGCAAAAGGTATCAGGTACAAGATTGGAGAGGGAAATATATGAAAGCACGTGGCTGGAGGAAATGTCTTGGGAGACGGATGGAGAGGAGAGCAGGACCTGACAGCAGCTTGTCTGCAGTTATGGAGAGTTGAAATGGAAACACCCAAAGGGCCAACAGAACTGGCCGTGAGATGGCAAAGACCCAGGATCAGAAAGATCAAAGGAAACCTAGTGGGACCACTGAAAAATAGCTGTTTGGGGCCAGGAGGGACAACGGGAACTGAGCAGCTACAAGGGAATAAGGAGACAGTTAAGAGTCCCAGAAGTAGACACGGAATGGCTGCGCCATCCACCACCATCTGATATGCCTCTGAAAACACTACACAATACAAATTAGCCTTGCAGGATAATTTGAAGGCTAATATATTAGGGATCTGTTACGCTAAGGAGAAAGGAAGTCAAAGATCCTTTCTTAAAAGCTTCTGCCTTCAGTACTCTCCCTTCCAAACCAGGGGTACTTGGTTCAAGCACTGGCACTGATTTGCACAGCTATGATAGTGTATCAAAGTGACTGGGGTACCAAAAGGAAAGAGCAGAACTCCTATAGTTTCACAGGTCAGTATATGCACAATTTGAAGGATCTGCCACAGGCTTATAGAAAATGGCCTTTTTTTTTATGGCTTGGCAGCAAAATGGGGAAAAATGGTTTAGGGTCAGACCAAACCAGGTTTTTTCCCAGTGTTTTGGCTAAATGAAGAATTTTGTTTTGGTTCAACCAGTAACAACTATTTCTGTTTCCTTTTCATGTTTTTCATGAAAAGGCAGTGAACTAGATGACCTATGGATGTCCCTTCCAGCCCTAGATCTCTGATTCTATATAATTCTTTAAAAATCCTTTTTTCCCCCCTCTATTGCTTATTTTTAACTGATACCATTAAAAAAAAATAAAACATGTTTTTCTCAACTGAAAAGGTGAGATGCTTTAAGTGGAATTAATTCATTCTGCTGTGAGATGGAGCCAATGGGCTTGATCACAGCATGGCTACCCTACTTCTAGTTCTGAAGGTACCAAAAGCAGTCACGCAATGTGTTTCAGCATAGTGTTGCTTGGCACAGTAAGTCCGAAATACAGCTATGCCCAACATTTTCCTGACACTGGGCCCCCAGTTAATGAAAAGGCCTGAAGCCCACAGTAAATCCCTCTGCAAACTGAAGCTCAGGTTGCTACTGAAAACTAAAACTAGTTGAATTTCACCAGTTTTGGGATGTTTATTATGAATGGCTGCCATGACTTTGGATAGGCCTTCAAATATATTTTGGTTTAAGGCAAAGTGGTTAGGAGGAACTGCAACAACCATAGGGCCAGCTGACTAAATCCATCACTTCCCTATTGACACAGAGGGCTAATTTCCAAATCACACAGTCATGAATTTAATTATGGAAAAATAAACTATTCCAAAAAACCCTCTCCTAAAAACTGGCTTTGATGACCACAATTATATCTATGCCCACAATAGTCTAATTGTTGCACCAAATTATTCCACATGAGTAGCTGAAGGATATTCTCTTTCGCTACTGCTGAAATTCAAATTTATTAACAACTTCCTTCACAACACGCACTTTCTCTCTCTCGCTCTCGCTGCCCCTGCCCCCCCTCCAAATACTTTGAAAAAGAACATGCTGTGAAAATTATTGTGTGTTTACCTGCCTGGAAAATTTTATTCACAGAGAAATTTAAATTTAAACTACTCTTATTTCACTACGGAAAGAAAAAAAAACAAACCTAATTTAATCTTGGATTGGACAAAATGCAAATTGAGGGCTTCAAATGCTAATTTGTTTTAAAAAAAGAGAAAAGGGTTTCACACTGAAAAGAAAACTAGAGATTAACATTCCAGGGGTAGACCTAGGTTTTTTGACAAGATTTGCAGTTGGGTTTAAAGTCTGATGCATCTCCCATCAAAGTCAAGGGGTTGTGCAGGTTTGGGGCTCTAGTGAACAGAAAATCTTTTCTTGCTGCATTACACAACAGACATAAAGAAAAAAGTAGGTGGTAGTAGGGGGGAACTTTTTAATAACTAAGTTTGTATATAATAAATTGTATCAGGAAGGGCAGACACAAATTGTCCTCTGTCGATTTATTATGATTGCCTGTTGTTTCAATGGTGTTTTAAAAGCAAATGGATGCGTGTTAACTTACCAGGAAGAGAAATGGAGGAGATGGCCTTTTATCTTGAGGTTATGTATCATTATAGAAAAAGGCCGGTGGCTGCTGCATTTAATGCTAAAATGTGGTATTTAGAACAAAGCAATGAGATAATAGGTGGCTTTCCCAGGATGTCCAGCAGAGAATGCTTCCACCTCATTAGCATGAAATAATAACTGAGCACCTGTTTGGTATTGAAAAGTTTTTGTTTTCAGCTTCTCTCCTTTGGCTATATCAGTAGCTGGCATTGTGTCTACTTTCCTAGACATTCTTAAATTTAAATGAGAGGATTTTATTAAAGCATCAGGTATAACACCATTATGTTCCTCAAAGAAAGGTCAATAGTTGGCACTAATGAATTCTGCGTTTATATTAACTGATCAGTATTTCCTGAAGAAGGAGTGCTAACAAGTCAGATGCATAATTCATAATAAAATGACAGCAGCTGCCTGCGCTACTATTCCAGATGGTGGGGTGCAATGCTGGGATTCTGCACACCATACTGGTCATTGTTATCCATAAACCCCTGTCCCATTAGAAAACAGCAGCAAGTGTTAACTCCCAGGATGGCAGAGAAACATGGCTGTATTACTGTGTGACAGCTGGAAAGATAATTAATTTCAGCACTGTACAAGGCCCCATCTTGTGTGAACAGACTACCTACAGGGACAACTCTAGGCAGCTCGTGCTGCATAGAGTTTTGTAATGAAATGTATGGAAATGAGTAAAAAAAAAAAAAATTAAGGAAAAAGAGGTGGGTTGATATTAAGGTAATAGGCATTAATTCAAAACACAGGCAGAGAGAGAGAAAAGTCAATTGTAGGCATTATATATCTAAAAATGCAACCTGGCTGCATCAGCTGAGCAAATATTCTTTTGTAGCTGTTCAGTGAGCAGAACTCTTTGGACATTTTCCACCGAAACAGAAAATACTGATTTGAGAAACCCCAAATGTTTTACACCATCTGTCCCTCCAAACAGGCAGAAGTCCCAACAGCTAGAGGGGAAACCCACAGATTTAGGAAGAGTGATAATGCATTCCTCTCGTGAGCTGTTTCCTGCATACGGCTATCCAGCTTCTTTCATCATCTTGATAGCGTTCGTCCATGCATTACCCTCACTAACAGCGCTCCCCAAGGAATGTCACCCTCCATGAGTACTTGGGGCAAATGGTCCCTGCATCAATCCCAGGCTTTGGACAGGCTACAGCAGGACTCCACAGAAGTGAACGATGCCAGAAATTCCTTTATAGGTTGGGCGAGGAAATCTCACACATGGCAACCTCCTAGGCTCGGTCATACCACCGGGCATCCCAGTATGCACGTTCAGGCAGAACTGGACTTCTGGTTTGGGGTAAGGTTGTGCCTCTTTCCTCCTCATGGCAGTTAATGCCCCCTTGGGTGCATATATTTATACATTTTGCCTCCCGGGGACAACAAAGACCAAAAGCTTCTTAATGCACAACTCTCATTTATTAGCTATCCAAAATCCCTCATCCTTTGAGTAAATTAGGATTTTAGGGATTTTAAAACCTGGTTCACTCCTACATGTTTTCATAGTTTCACAGTGCTTAGGGTTGGAAGGGACCTAAACAGATCATTAGGTCCGACCCCCTGCCCCTTTGCCAAGGGAATGGGCACGCTACGCTCCACCTTGCTCCTTTAAGATGTCAATTTAGTAAGTTCATTTGTAATTAGAAACCTATTTAACAGGGGGGCACCATCAATCCCCCACAGAACAGGGTGCAGCTTGCTGAAGTCCTTCATGCTCTTACACAACTTAGGCTCTATAAAATGACTTACAGCAATGGCTTGAATTGTGGCCAAGTAGATAAGGGCGAGATCATCCAGGCCCTGAGACAGCGTGAGCCCAACAACCTGTGTGGAAAAAACAAGGGAAAAAAAAGTGTACAGATCCAGCAGAAATGGAAGTTCTCAGCATTTTCAGCACACAAGGCATGTTTCTTGTTGTATCGATGCTATTTCTAATCCTGTCTTTGAGGGTGGCACGCAGAGTGTTACATTAAACATGTCGCTCCCGATCTGGGGAAGAGCCACGGAAACAGATCTTGCCTTTGCAAAGAAACAATGGACAAAACATATTTTGCAGGGATGGGGATTAGCATGTTATGTGTTCCCTGATTTTTTTTTTCTTCTTATAAGCTTTACATATGGCTTGGGAATACATTTAGTGCAATATTCTGAACTGGCACAGTAAACGGAGAAAAAAAAGATCCTGTTCCCCTCCCCGTACATCTTTTCAGTGAAAGACAATTCATAATTAGAAACCAGATTCTGATCTCATTTTGTCAGGCTTATTTCCAAACTGCCTCCAGTTAAGTAATGGAGTTCCTCTGCATTTATATCAACATAAGTGAGATCCAAATTTGCCCCTCACTGTGGCAGAAAACATACGGAGTCGTTTTCATTAAGTCATCATATCAGGGGAATAAACACCCACTGTAGTATATATTTCTTTCGGAAAGGAGTATGGCTTTACTTGGGCGTGCTCTCTCTCTCTCTTTCCATATACATTGGTCAACTAAGTTTTTCTTGAAATGTTCCTATTCTCTTTAGCCAAAGGATGTAATTTGTTTTCTGGGGGCGGGGGGTTTGTTTATTGAAAAACAAAGACCAACAAAAATGCACTGAGAAGGGATGTTTCCCTTCGAAGTTTCTGCCTCAGCTGCATGCTATTTTTCATCTAAAATGTTTCTAATGAAAAATCTCCACCCAACTTCAATTCTGAGCCAAATTTGCAAAAGTGTTGTCCAAGGGATCCCAAGAGCTCTACACTGGGGTACAGCTGAGAGCAAAGGATAACATTAATAACTTTACTCAAATTACAGATAGAGTTACTGTTCACAGTTAGGTCCTCCTGAGCTACGGCTCTCTGCAAAGCCAGACGAGTACAAGTATGAACTGCAGTTCATTGAGTGTAGCTAGTCCTGGCACCATATTAAGATGGAAGTTCATTTTGCCCGTAGCTTAAGTGGCAACCTGACATTAATTGGAAATAAAGATGCAGCTTAACTTGTACAAAGTTTTTGATGAGTCACTGATCACATAAGCCGTTTGTTAACAAAATGTATCAGAATCATGGTATCTTCTTTAAGCTGATGAGTCAAGGTGTAATTAGTGCTTCAGTAGATAGTGTCGTCAAGTTCTGTCCATTTAAGCTCAATAGTTAAAGAAAAAAGGTTTTGATGCTCTTAGTAAAGAATATACAAGTATGTAAATAGCACTACATTTATACTGTAGATCTGATTCTCTCACTGTTGTAACCAGAATTACATTTTCAGGAATGCATTATTACTGTTAGATAAGAGCTTGATGCAACCCCTCAGTTCCAGACATTCCTGAATTTGGGGTAAGTTCAAACACTGATCCAAACTTCGCAGCTGGGTTTCATCCCTAATTATCAGACTGATTTTGTTGTACAAGAATGTACATGCATCACCAGTTCTTTTCTCTATGATCCCTCCCATTTCAGTGATAACGGTCCCTGCATTTCAATTTACTACTTTCCTGATATCCAGAGTCATCAAAGTTGTAGTTGTCTAGAATGCCCTCCTGGCCAGTATTTTCTGTTTAGGTTGCCAGGACACTTAGGGTGCTAAAAGTCACCCACTCCACCTGGGGTATGGCCTGTGATGCTTTCTCAGGTTTTTGCCTTACTTCAAAAACCAATGATCATTTTAAAGGAAGTTATAACACAAACCACCTGACACAGAAACTGTAGCTATACATCACTGAGACTCAAAAGATCCTAGACCTTAGAGACATATGATTCAGATTGCACCCCCTTCTATCTGCTTCATTTGTCACGGTCCTATACAGTACTATCCTGGCATGTCATCTAATTATTTTGGCTCCCTGTACATATACTCGGGGGTAGAGGGAATGCTTTAATTAGAGTGATTCCTGGAGACCTGCTCTAATTAAAACACCTCACCGTCACATGTATTAAGTGCATGCACACTTACAAATAGCCGCAGGATGCTTTAGCTAAACCTCATGCAACAAGATTTAGCTAAAGTGCCCCTGTGGCCATTTTAAAACATGCAGGTGCTTAATACATGTGATGGTAAGGCGACACTGGAGCGTTCTAATTAGAACACGAACTAGCACATGTATAGGCAGCCTTTGCCTCCAGCAGGTTCAGTTAGACACAGGGGTGTCAAAAATACAGCCCATGGACCAGATTTGGCTGAGCTGAATCACATGGTGTGTGCTAGACCAGCTCTGTGCACAGGGCACATGATGTGCACCACCTGGGATCCATGATAATCATGATGCCCATTCTAGCTGGTCTAGGATCCGTGCTGCACACAGTGCCCCACCATTCCTCCCCACCCAGCTGGTCCAGAATGCATGCAGTATGGATCCTGGACTGCTCAGGGTAGGCACCACATGGAGTGCAGATCCCAGAGTGTGTGCCGTGCATGCTGGATCTGGCATAAGGTGGGGGTAAAGTTTCTGACAGCCTGATATGGCCTGTGGACTAGCTCCACACAACTTATCTGGCCCTGTGGGCCAGATGAGTTTGACACCCCTGAGTTAGGAGCATCCAAAGGTTTGGAAGCTTCTCGGAGTTTTATGACTCCACAACTAGGGGGCTGTGTGAAACTTCGGTCCCTGATTCGATTCAGCAGAGATTCGGCATGATGTGGTGACTGAATCTGTGAATCCAAATTGAATCAGAGGACCCTTTAATCTCTCCAAATTGATTCGGAGAGATTTGGAAAGATTCTGCGATTCAGACATAGACACAGCTTGAAATGTTTTTTCTATATGCCTCTAGGTAGCAGGCATGGCTCGTGAATGCTGTGATGGTGGGGTGGATGGAGCATCCCACACGAGCGTGGGGGGCTCCCCAGCGCGCTTGGCAGCAGACCCAGAAGTGGACCAGAAGCACTTCCAGTCCACTGGATAGTGTGCTGCGCCCCCCCCATGCCTTCTCGGCTCGGTGACTGGTGCCTCCTGGGTCTGGGGGGGCACCCGGGGTCCCCCTGTGACTGGTCACCAAGCCGGGAGGGTTTGGGGGGAGCCCCCAGCATGCTCCCCAGCAGACCTGGAAGAGGACCACTTCTGGGTTCACTCCCAAGCATGCAGGGCCTCGCCCCCCACGCTCCTGTGGGACAGTCCATCCGCCCCAGCATTGCAGCGTTCATGAGCTGCGCTTGGTATCTCAGGGTATGTAGAAAAAACATTTGAAGCTGTGTCTATGGCCGAATCAGTGATTCTCTGACTCAGCATCGAATTTTCAGATTCGGCTGAATCGAATTGGGGACGGTGATCCGAATCAACAAATCGAATCACTGTCCCCAGTTCGGGCCAAATCCCAATCCAAATCGAATAGGGCCTATTTCACCCCCCCCCCAGCTACAACCTTATGTGGAAAACTGGTAAAAAAAAAGACCTTCAAATATTCTCTCACAAGTTTTCTAGTGTTGCTGCTTCTGCTTCTAGACTGAAACACTGTAAAAACTGTCCTTCATACCATATTTCAGCTATTCCAGTTCCAGAAACATCTACAAATCTCTAGCCAAGATAAGACCGAATTCAGCTTTGAAAAATGAATGAAGGATGAGGAGGTATAAGGAGGCACCTCATTTATTTAGTCAATTAGTTAGGTCAGAACATGCACACCCTTCTCTAAGCATTACACCAGAGCTTTCCAGCTTCTCTTTAAACCAACCAGTAAGCAACTGAAATAATGCAACACCCACATTCAGAATACATCAATTTAATTTGGAAAAGTTTTCCTTGCAATACATCACTCTAAATCTATGCTACTGGTTTTAGAGGCTCATCCATTTTACATGAGAAAGCCAAGATTGTCCAGACAGGTGGGTATTCAAAGATAACGAGTGATTGCAGGGGAAGAAGTATCATGCAAAATACTGGAAGAAGTACCTCCTCATACTTTTAGCAAGCACATGCAGCCCTAGTGATATCAAAACTATCCGGATTGATGGCGAGCTGTAAAAACATTTGCTAAATTCAATAACAACAACAAATACTAGCAAGAAAATCAGGTCTGCTGGGATATTTTGAATAACTAAGGAGGAGTATGTTTAAAATAAAAAAGAAAGCTCCTTCTAAACTTTTTTTTTTAACATTACCCTGTATTGACCTTTTGCAAAGTCAGGCTGTTTCTTACCATGCCCTTTAGTGTCAGATCTGCTAAGGGAGATCGGTTACCATGGAAATCTGGCCAAACATGTAAATCAACAGTGAGGAAACCCACAGGCAAAGATTTCTTAATCAGATCCAGGTGACTGTTCAAGTATGTATATATACTTTGAGCACTGGAAGAAAAACAAGTTGGAAAAAAGGGAAGGCGGGGGGGAGGTTATTCATTGAACATAAAACATTTGTACCTCTAATATCAAATGCAAGAAAACCATCAAAGAGGCCCACAAGCCAAACTTAAAACAAATGAGAGAAAGAATCATTTGCTTGCCAGGCATGTAGAATAAGGGGGGAGTTATATTGCACCATCATACGGCAGGAGATCCAAGTTCCTGACTGCAGTGGGGATGTGGGGAGACAGCGGGGACTAAACGACCCGCTACCTGGGCATTGCCGCCTGCGGGTCACTCCTGGAGCTGCGGCTGTTTGGCATTAGTTATGCTGGCAGACCTGCCCGTCACAGAGAAGAGGTGTGAATATTGTGAAAGAGGAGGAGGAAAAGAAGAAATATGATTCCTTGAGAAGAATGAAAACAAATGCCTTATCTTCCCCAAATATTATCAATTCTCTTGTTATTTGTGTCGATTTTTTTCATTCGTGATACATAAATGTTGGAGAGTGTGGTCTGATTAAAACAGACCAGCAAGGGTGGAATAGGGTGAAGTAGATGCTGCTATGCTGGGGAGGAGCTGAGCAGACTCCAAATTGGATTTTATTTTATTTGGGTTCTGATACTACACCCAGCTCCACATTGTCCAAGAGCCTTTTTCCTGGGCCAGCAGTAGTTGCAGGATTAATGATGAACTGTTCATTGTTCTGGCTTGCACGGGCCCGAGTGACATTTCAGTTAAAAATGTTTCAGTTAGGGTTATAATACTTTTCTAACAAAGAAAAAATGCAAGCAACAGATTCATAATTTTCCTTTTTCCTTCACTGCTCAGGAATGTCCGAGCAGGGCACTTAATTTCAGGCATCCAGGTCAATAACAGCATCTAACCCTAATTACAATTGATTAGTCATTGTCTCATTTATTGTAGATCCAAACAGTGATATTCATTTAGCCCCTACATATATATTCAATCACACACTAATGAGATCCCTAAGGGAATTTGGCATATGCTTTACCACTTTGACTTCTGACCTCCTAGCAGCTGTATATTTATATTTGCATTCAACCATTCAGCCACATGTTTTTTCAATTATACCTTACCATGTGTATGCTATCAGAGAATATCATTCAAAATGAAGTGCACTTGGAAGACATTAAAATAACTAATTCACATCATTATTCACATACTTTTAAATGTGCTTTATGTGCCTTCCTGGAACTGAATTATGATAATTTTGTGAGTTACAACGATCCTTTCCCCCACCCCCCAATAGTGGCTCTATTTTCTGCCTCCCTAAAGATTATATTATAAGCAATACCTGCTAATGATCAATCCCTGCATGTTCAGTGTAAATCCTGGTTTTATGGAATAGAGAGGAGAAAAAAAGAGGACGAGAGCAACATCATTCAACATGGGGCCTATGTGACCTCCCAGATTTCCTTCTGGTCCTCTCGTTACTTGTACCTAATAGCAGGGATTTCCAGTGGGTGCAGCTATTTCAGAGCTCAAAGCCCATGCAGCAGAAATTTAAATGCATCTTTCCAGCCCAGAATTACCCTTTACTCCTTCCCCTTCCTCTAGATCTGGGCCATAAGGTTTGGGGCTGTATGAATGACAGAGCTTCAGAGCTCCTTCAAACACTGTCAGTGCCATGTGCAGTGCTGGGCTACTGATATTCTTGTACCGGATCCCTTTCCTCCTTCAGTCCTTTAGCAACAGTAAGGCTGTGCTTTGCACTCCTGAATGTTTGAAGCAAATGCTTTTTGTCACCACCACCGAACTTTCCTTTGGCTGTTTAAAAAGTCTGTAAGCGATAGCACGAACAAGCAGCAGACATTCATCAGAAGGTATTATCTGTACTATTGGCCATATCTCAGAAGCCAAGGGGAGTTATGTACTTCATCTCCACAGGTGCATTTGAAAATGTTACCAGGTGCCTACCTACATCTTCAGATTCCAAATTACCTCTGAAAATCTGGCCCTAAAATCCACACATTGAAGGAACTGCCAACTCCCATTATTATAGATGACCTGAATGATCCCAAAGTACTTTACAGACACCATTTCACTACTGCAAATTCTGTCTGAACACCTGAGGACAAAACCCTGAAAGTAATATAAAAATTGCCAAAAGGAGTGAACTCTAGGCCCAAAAATATGAATTCAGTATATTCCCCTTCAAGAGCAAAAAGTTAATCGAACCCTATCAGGATTAGTGCCTGTCAGTTCAAGGAACCTAGGTAATTTTGTACACCACAAAACTGGCCTTTAAAGTGGCTTAATGCCCTTTTTCACTGTTTTAATGGTGCAGCTGTTTACACATATCGGTGGCATAATGTGTGTTAAATGACTTTGGGACACAGCAAAATAAAACTTGTCGAGGTGTTTTAGTTTGCTACCTTACAACCACAGAGGGAAGCACTGGGCCCCGTGCAGCTCAGGGGCTGTGCAGGCAGCCTGGCAGCAGCCCATGCAAGCAGCCTGGCAGCAGCCTGGGAAGGCAGGCTCCACCGAAGGAAAGAAAAAAAAAAGCGGCAAGCCTGATCCTATGTTTTTTTCTTCCCAGAGCTTGCCTGACTGCCTGAGCTGCATGGGAGCCTGGTGCTCCCTCCGTGGCTGCAGTGGTCCCTGGGACCGCCCAGGCTGGATGCCTGCAGGCGGGTGCCACCTGGGGGGCGCTGCTGATGCCGCGGAGGGAAGCATTGCTCTTCCCCCCACCAGCTCAGGGACCGCTCGGCCCACCGGCAGCTCACCCTCCCTTCCCCACTGCCAGAGAGGCAGGCAAGAATCAGGCCTGAGCCCTTGCGTACATGCCATGAAGGTTTACTTTGCCTTAAATTGAAGCAGTGTTAAAAACCCACTGCTTCAATTTAGGGAGAATTAAACCAAAGTAGACCCCGTGGCATGTACACATAGCCCTAGATACTGCAGCCTTGATGCTTAGACCAAAAAGTCCCCTCCTCTCTTGACCACGCACCGCAAGTTTTCTCATGCTAAAAATACCTGTAGATTATTAACTGACAAAACCGCTGACTCATCACAACCCCATACCTTGCACAGTTGCTGTTGGTATGAAGTTGGTATAAAATAACACTGCAAGGACAAGTGCAGAACACTGATTCTGTTTGCAATTTTATAACCGCTCTGCACTCGCTGACAAACCTAAGTGACTTTGCAAGGCAGGGAATCAGGCCAAAAACACCTTACCATTTATTTTAGGGAGATCTGCAGGCAAGTAACTCATTATCTCCTCCCCATCAAGGGTCCAAAAAACCCAGACAAGACCAAACGTTGATATAAAGGGTCAGAATTAATTTGAGAAAAAACACAGGAAATTCAAAGCTGGAGCCAAAACTTCCTGCTAAATTACCACCTTCTACTTAGCTCTTTCAGCTGATATAGTCTCATCTGATAAGGTCTCAGAACAGCAAGAGAAAGTTTGTGCCATATGTGCTCTAATAGCTAGGTATGATGTTATGAGTTAAAGATGGGATTTTGGCCTGAACAGCAAGGTCCCTGGCTCCTGTCCATTCAAGTTAGGTACTAATGTTAACTTTAATTTTGGTGCGGGTGAGGGTTGAATTTATAAGTGGCTTGTTTACTAAATTTATAGCTATGCAAACATTTCATTAGAAAGGCAGTGTCTGGAAAGCATTATAGAAGTACAACTGGGTAAATTAACTGGATAAAATATTATAACCCTTTTTATCAACACGCTTCTGCACAGTTTTATGATCTTCATGAGCCTCAAATATAAATTAAGGCTGGTAGCCTGTGCTACATGAGACTGTTATATCCCATGGTATTCAGTATATAGGGAGAAAACAAGTTCCTTCCATCATGTCAGCACTCATGGATGTTGCACTGTGCCTCTGCAGCACCAGCATCAAACACAGCTTGTACAGGTATGACTGTGCTACAGGTACGACTGACCACGGTAACGTCTCATTAAAACTCAGCAGGGGGACAACATCTGAAGCTTCAGCATAGGGGAAAAATACAGAGATTGACTCTTATTCTGTCATATGAACTTCAGCCATAGCCTTAAATCACAAGGGACCCTAGAAAGCATGAAGTCTCCTTCGTTCAACATGACATGCATTTGCTAGAACTGGACTTCTGGGAGGCAGAAAGAGTTGTTTAAGAAAGAGTCACTGGATATTGCAAGGCCTTCCTAGATTTCATAGGGAAGTAGTGGGTTTTCTAGAGCAACCAAGGCAGAAGTAGGGGAGGACCGTGAGAAGCTCTGTGTCAAAATCAGCGTGAATGCGCATGTGTGTGTTTCTTTCAGGACTGGGACTTGTATACAGGTTAGGGCAGGCTGAGAGACTTGAGCAAAAATACCAGGTTTGCTATGCTTCATCATTCCAGAAAAGGAAGGAAGGAAGGAAGGTATTTCCCTCAGATAGGCAAATTTGTTCTTATGGCTCTAGTCTTGGAGAGTTTTTAACTAAAGATGAGCCCAGGTAGAAAGCTCAGGCTCTAGATTTGAAAGGCAGCTCACAGGCAGCCAGCCTTCACTCTCTGAAGTGGCTGACCTCAAAGCCCAGATCCAAAACAGAACTGTAGAAAGTGTGGATGTAGATCCAAATGCTGCAGCTCAGGCACACCTCTTTATGTAACTCTTTATTTTGGTTTTCACTCCCCCTTCTCACCATCCTGAAGTATCTCTTCCTACAGGAGCTGTTCTTTCACATAGCTTCCACTGTGCTATTAGCAGCAGTCTGCTTAGTCTCATCCCTAGTCCTTGACAACATCACAATGATGAGGCCCCATTAGCCCAAGGCACCCAGGTGTGCCACATAGAAAGTATTCAGTGCTACCAAGTGACCTAATCAGGTGGATACAAAAATGGCTTTGATGTGCAAAGCAAAAGGCAAGCCCCACTACTTGGGTAAGGAGTCTAACCTCAGGGAGGCATATTTTAGGTTTGTTAAGCTTTGATCCATGAATTATCATAATTAGAACAGCCTTTGCAAATGCTTCCAATCAGTTCACATTCAGGTAACTGAGTTCGCAGACAGTTTGGCTGATTCTCATGTTCTGAGATGAGAGCACTACAGGTATGTGAGTTCAGTCTACTATCAAAAATCATTATAAAGCAGACACTGTAGTAAAGAAGTAAAAGTGGTGACCTGGCAGCAGCTTTCTCTTGCAATTCTGGGAAGGCAACATGGCCCTGGACAACATGCTCGATCTGAAAAAGAAGAAAACCAACTTGACTGAAAGAAATTCAATTTAAAGGTTTGCTCCTGGTAAAGCATTTTGGGGAATTACAGTTCTAAAATGGCAAAAGAGCTTCCAAGTTACTTAAAAAGTGCTTGGTCTTATTGAAGACAATGGCAAAACTCCCACTGATTTCAACAGAGCCAGGATTTAGTTTAAAAAGATGTTATACCTAAGATGAGTAAAATAATATGTTTATCACTCCCAGGTATAACTGCAAGCAAAATGCATCACCCCTTGTGTCTCGAAAAGCCATAGTAGGCTTATTGATCTGTCTCATGCCATTGCAGAAATGGTGACATTTGGAAATCTAACTCACCTTGAGTGTTACTGGTGCAAACATCTAGCTTGCATTTTTCCTTCATTCTATATTATAAAGATAATATCTATTGTCAAGGCTGTTTACTGTTGGATCTGCTAGAATATCAAATGTCTAATTACTTGCAGACTTTAGGTGTTCCTCAAGCAGACAGCACAATATTCATGCAGCACAAGAACACTGCACTATTCTGTAGCATTAGCTTTGCTAGTACCTCTTACTAAATTCATCGGGCAGCCATGTGAATACCAAAATTATGTTATAATTTGTATTAATAAAGCTCTACCAACAATATCAAAGCCTACAATCAAACAACTCCCAGGCAGGGTTGGAAACAATTTTTAATATAGGTTAATTGCTTTGTTGGTTGCTATTAAAGTGTTTCACATTTTACAGGAGGATTCCAAAAAATAGTCATCTCTAATCTAAAGGCATATTTTCCATCTCTCCATAAATTAACACAACGTACCCCTTCGGGCACCGGGGACCAATCTGTTTGGCAGGAATGCTACAAATTAGCCCTTTACCCCACCCTGAGCACCACTCTGATCTCCTTACCCAGCCTGATCTGTTCCTCTGCTTTCTGCTCTGTGGCCTATCTGGCAGTCCCCTGCCAGGTGACACGCAGAGGCTGTGTGCGCCACTTGCAGCACACGTACTGCAAGTTGGCTACCCCTGCCTGAGAGAGACTAACATAGAGAATGCTATGAGAAAATCCTATACTAAATTACTGATATCAAACTCTGTTGTGGGACAGGTCCATCTCAGTTTCTTAACATGAAGTTAACTGATGGCTAGTTAGCTTGAGCTAGCTAAACCACACGTAGTGGCTAGCATGGAAACTCTACAGATCTCTCTCATAATACAGGTGCCCATCCTTTACTCTGAAAATCAACTAGCTCAACTTGAGGTCTGGTATAAACATACCCTTTATACAGTGAACATGTAAGATGCAGCATACAGGGAAATGGCTCCCTTACTATGCATAAAACAATTCACTGAGAAGGGTCAAATGGGCTTCCAAGATAACAATTTAAACCTCACGAACGCATGACAGCACCTATCAGAGGCAACTGTAAAGATAAAGAGGTAAAACTATGACTGCTCAGGGTACTGGAAATACCTGCTGACCGAAAGCCAGATGATGTGTTTAATTTTCATAGTTCTCATTAGTTCCGGAACGTGGGTATTAACAGTATAATGACAATCATTTTCAATATGCGCACACATTTCCAGATGGACAGCAGACGAAATACATTAAGTTCCTTCTGAGGTTTGCACAGAAGATAAAGAAAAGCAAATTGCACAAAGATAAATGTATCAGGAACAAAGCTTTGGGCTGCACTGAATTTTATAAAACTGAAATATTAATATTAGAACAAGCCATCAGGCATTAGTCATATACAGGAATGATATAAAGCTGTCCAGAAAATGTTCAAAATTTAATTTAAAAGTCAACATACATAGGTACATGGTTTATATATGGATATGTGTGCACGTGCGATAGATAATTTATTTTATTAAAAAATATATAGTACTGCAACATTAAGGTTGTAAAGTTAAACACTCAGACTTCAGAAAGGCCCAAATTAAGGTTGCATGCATAAACTTACCTCTGCTTCCTAGTGGATACATTTTTTGGCTGCTGTCTGTAATTACGTCACATCTCAATTATGCAATAGACCTTTTCCTACACATTTTGAAAATGCAGTTTAAATGCTTAGACCTTCCAGAAGGAAAACTCGTTTTTTTTAGAACAAGCAGCTCCTCAAAAGAACTCTATCCAGGCCTATTTTGACATTTCAAACTTAGCAGAATTTCTAGAAAAGTGATGGGAACTTTTAAAAAGGGAAACTATCTTTATTTTGCTCTCACTGGATACCACTGGCTATGTTCAAACTTTATTGGAAAAAAAATCACCTTCAGGCACAGACCAATCAGTGAAAATTTAATCCCAAAATAGGATTTTTTCAAACAGCTAAGAGTAGGCAAAAGCCTATTTCATTATGACTGCTTCTTTGCAACTTTCACTAGAGACAATCAACCAGCCACAAAAGCAGGTTTGACATATTTAATTTCAATTTCTTTCTCTCTACTTGTTTTGTGTGTATCATCTGAAAAATCCACGTGAAACAGAATATTCTAAGAATGTCTTAATAAAGATACACTTCCCCTAACATTCCTAAAGTTTTATGCTAACTTTTGCTATGGGCCCTAACAAAAATAGAAACAAATTCCAAAGATCTTCCTGGAGTACCAAATGCCTCCTTACAGAGAAAGAAAGTCAGACCTTCACTGCTTCAAACCTTGAATCTAGTGGGTCTCAGACTTCTTTGTACCAGGACCCATTTGTAAACATTGGTGGCCAGTCCCGACCCACTCCTGACCCTCTGCCCTCCACCCTCAGCCCCCCAGAGTGTGTGGCAGGGGGAGTGCATGTGAGGGAGGGGGGCACCCAAGCAGCCCTTTGCGGGCTGGATCTGGGACAGTCTAAAAAGGAAAAGCCACGGTTTCTCACATTTTTCTCTTTTAAAGGAGAATACATTTTTAAAATCTGTTCGTGACCCTGTCATGTTTTCTTGCGACCCACTTTTGGGTTGTGACCCATGGGTTGAGAAATACTGCTTTAATCTATTAGCAAACTGAATGTAGATCTGAGTATCTGTTCCTCTAATCATACTTTTGAAGACAGATCTCTCCATTGTAGCAAATGCGATTAGAATACACTTTCAGGTTTAACTTTATTCCCTCCATCTCTCCTAGACTGTAGAGGGAAAATATATGTTTGGCACTTGTATTGAAGAGGGCTTGAAAAGGGAATGCTCTTTTAGTCCACTCTCTCTCACCCCCCTGAGCAAGTCCAAACACAAGAGTTTTTATCCTTCTGAAAATTAATAGACTTCTGAGCAGCTAATTGTTTAGTGCTTTTAGCAGCACATTCACCATCGTGCTCTCACAAACATATTCTGGGCCAGCCCCGCAGCTGGTATACACTGGCATAGCTCCGCACAGCTATGCTGATTGACAAGAGCTGAGGAACCAGGCCTGTCTTTTAGAAGAAACTCTTTCCAGACTCACCAGTTTTCCCGTAGCACTTTGGCCTCCTTCGTTCAGCCAGAATCCAGGTACCATGGCCGAGTAATATGGCCCCCAAACACCAGGCACATAAATGGGGGTTTCACTTATCTGCAAAAGCAAGAATAAACATAGTCAGTCAAACTGCCCTGTTTGCCTGGGCTTCCAGGGGCCAACATTGGCATTAGAGCAATGGAAATGCTCGCACGAGGAGGACAAGCAACAGATTTCAGAACTTGGCCCTTACTAGATACATTTTAGGTGGGAATAAATAGGAGAATGCCTTAGTTCTCCACCACATTCAATTAACTTTTTGATGAGAAGATAATCTCCTGCTGATCACATATTAAATTGTGCTTAGCTGATACTCTGGAGTTGTTTATGGCGTAGCTGATCATGTTTTCAAAGCAGAGACTTAAGATAAAACTTGAAGGTCTAGAGACAACGTCTGAGATCCTCAGGTAGGTCTTTCTGCTCTCATGATGAGCAGGAAGAGCTAGGTGCCTCCAAATGGCATGCACAGAAGTCAACAGGTTCAGTGAAGAGTTGCCAAAGTTAGCCAGTAGGAAACACTGAGGACAGGGCTGTGGTTTAAGTCCTGTCTCTCTGGGGGACTTTGGTATCTTCCTTAAGTGTTGCTGGAGATGTCTTCCTTCACTAAAAGATTCTCCTGGATGTAGGTCTCTAAGGCCCTTTTCTCAAGAACTGAACAGAGACTGCTCTTCTTTTTCAACACACAGGGTACCCTACTTTTATCCGCTAACTCAGCAGTTAAGCTATTATGGGAATGCATGGAAGACCTGGATTCATGACCTCTTTTTGCTTGAAATTGGAATTCCAGCTACCAAGCTAGAAGGGTGAGGGAACTCACTTTTCGTCCTGTTGAAGCTGTCCTACCCTGCGTTTAGATTTGGCATAGTTCAGTTCAGGTCTCTGACATCCTGTGAATGCTCCAACCCCTAAGATGATAAATAAAGGGGAACATCACAGCCATCTCCTCTGGCTGTGCCAGGGTACTTAAGTGGCAGGGTTGAGGGTTTGGGATTTTTTTGGACTTAGGAACATCTAGCACAAGAGTTCCCCCAGACTAACAAGATAGAGGTCAAAAGAAAACATCTCCCGGCCCAATCAATAAGAATCTACTTTCTCTCAACTGGAGCTTGCCCTTCATGGGTGGAAACCAAGGCCCTACCAAAGTCATCCAAGGTCTGCCCCATACTGTTTGAATACACGTCCCAATCCTGTTCCCGACAAATGTAATGCAAAGCTCCCCTTGACTTCAGTGACAGCAGAGTCAGATTTTTAATAGAAGATTTGCTAAGCATTTTAGGGGTGCCTACTAATATCGGGCTTATTGGCATGTGTTCATCACATGTTTAGTAAACAGACCAGCAGAAAGGTTTCTGTACAATCAAACCATCATTAAATTACAGATAACTTTGTCAGGAAAAGTTTGTCAGGAATACAAAATTAAATTAAAAAAAATAACCAATCAAATAAGCAGAAACTGGCTTCCCTACATAGTGCTGAGCAATCCCAAGTCCTGATTTCTCTTGAGAATACAGCTGACAACTATGAGAGAATCTTCCTCATTTGTCCTCAAATGGTCAATCTTAATACTAGAAATACTTAAAAGTCTTAAAGCTAGAAATACTAAAAATCTTTCTTAAAGATTTTTCCCATGTCATTGAGTGAGCTGTTGATACAATGGACATCAGCTCTATTTCTTTTTTAAAAGTTCAAGATTGGATGGCATGTCCTGCACTGAAATCAGCAAGTCAAGATGACAAAGTGCGTCTTTTTTAATGCTATCGACTGTTCTGAATGTGTCCTTTTAGGCCCTTTTGATGCGAGATGTTCCAGTGCTTTACATGAATTAACAAACAGCGCTTCACAACTTTGTAGTGAGACAGGCAGTCCATTACATATTTTACAACAAAAATGTTACATATTTTACAACATGAACAATGTGTTTTCCTAAAGCCTCACTCCATATTTAGGCACTTAAAAGACAGCTTGGAAGACCCAAGTCTGCATCACTGATGTCAAAGAGATGGGACTGTAGCCTTTGGTCCCCAAATCCCTATTTAGATACTTTGCTCATGCAGCAATGGCAGCCACGGGAACGGAGCCCAGGGGTCTTGACTCAGAGTCTTTTGCTATAACCCCAGACAACGGAAGAACTGTAAAATAGGAAGGAGTCGTCAGGGCAGAGGAGGTCTGAATTTTTGAAGTCTCCTCCCAAAGTGTTCTTCACAGGACAAATGTTTTGTACTAAATTCACCCACCTGGAAGGATAAAGGGTTGAACTGACTCTGCTGAGGTTTGAATCTGTGCTTCTAGCAAGTACAGCTCTACTATTCCTGAAGCTAAAGCCAGCAAGCTATGCATTGCCCACCTATTTATTAAGACAGAAGCAAGTGGCTGGACTGGCTACAAGATTTTTACAAATGTACAGGAAGATCCAGATGTTGCTTTTTCCTACATTGTACTTTGATTGCTCCTAAGTTATTAGCTTGCTATTCCCCAAACTGTCCTATATGTCTGATAACTTTAGAAGGTGTAGGCTGAGTAATGACTTAACCAGCCCTGAAGCGAGTACTTCTGGAGAGCAATGGGTTCTGAGTGTCTGCAGCCTGGCTCGGCATTTTGGAGGATACCCACAGGAATCTGCCAGGACAGGATATTTCCGTGCTGCCTCGTATCCATTTACACTGAGGCTTTCCTATCATCTTACTACCAAAATACCATTTGTACGCATTCCAGCAAACTTTCAATGCATGTATGGTGCAAATGAGACAGTCACATATCTCTGGGTAACTGGACACAGCCAATGGGACGCTGACTTGCCATTTCTTCTTCTGCAGGAAGTTCTCCCCAGTAACTCTTAAGTGGGATGAGAGACGTTGCTCTGATGCCGAGGGTTATTTGCACCATTCATAGTTTTCAAATTGCCCTTTGACAGCCACCTCTCAAAAATTTAGCTCAGGTTTAGCAGACTAGAAGACCAGCTAGCAAAACTGAAGATTGTGATTCGCATGCAGGGAGAGCTATGAAGAGTCGTCACTCACCAAAACACAGAAATTATTTGAGGAGCAGTAAAGTGAATCTTCTTCCACAGATGTACATATAACACATGCCAATTTTCCCTCCCTGAATTAGTGTTGGATGGTTCATAAGTTCCCTAAGCCATCTTGCATCTGGCATCTGTACTTTCATAATCAAAGTCTGAACTCTGTCTGGACTTTGACACCATACAGTCCCCCTAAGGGTAAATGAGTCTACACGGGTGTAGGTCAGGGGAAATGGTGCACAGTTTGGGGTGGCTCCATCCAACAAGCACATTCACAGATTTGGGGTTCAATTAGAAAATGTTTTTTTTTCAGCTTGGCACCATATCCTTTTCATATTAAACTCTGTTACTTTCAAATACTCATGTGCTGGCATGGCCAGATGGATGCTAGCACAATTCATTGTTTTATGAAGCTTAAGAAAAATCTGTAATCTTCACGATGCATAAAAAAAAATGCTGTTTGGATTTATGGATGAGTGATGTTTATTTCTCAAGTGAATAAGAGATGTCACCATTTTGATTTTAAATGTTGAATGGCTACACACAAGGAGACCCTGATTTTCTCTGACATCCAACCTAAATCAATACTCAGTATACATTTTGCATTGCACTGTTTTTCATTCTCAGGACTTATTCCTTCAAGAGAAATTTGGATGCTTATCTTGCTGGGATCCTATGACCCCAGCTGACTTCCTGCCCCTGGGGCGGGGGGCTGGACTCAGTGATCTTCCGAGGTCCCTTCCAGCCCTAATGTCTATGAAATCTATGAAATTCCAAACATTAATTGATCAATTCATGATAAACAACCACCCCTTGCACCTGCTCCACCTCACCTGAAAGGCAGGTTATTGCTATTTACTCCACTCGGTAAATGGGGAAACTGAGGCACACCTGGGTTAAGTGGCAGCTCAAAACAATGGAGCAAATCAGTGCCTGGGCCAGAATAAAATCTTGGTGTACCTGATTCCCAGCCCACTGCACAGTATTTATTGCCATAGGTATTTGGGAATAGAGGGGAAGCAAAATGTGGACCTTGAACAGGGCCAAAAATTTGGGGCCTTAAATTTTGAGTTCTAATGTGAAAAAACACAGCCATTATCTATACCCATTTATGTGAATTAAATGCAATCACAGAGAAAATGTTGCCTTTTGTCTGCAATGTTTACTTATAGCCATTCTCTGTTGTCTTTGGAGAGCCCTTACAACCACATGCTATTGCAGTGGGTGGCAGATTTCTTTCATGGAGGACGATGCTTCCTGCTCCATGTCTTCCTAATAGGCACCAGCTTTCCACTCTGCATAGCAAAAATGTCTGGGAAACCTGTTCAAATATCCCAAGGATTTGGGTTCCCTGGGTTTCTCCTCTTCCAGTGAAAGAAGAAAGAAGTTCTACATTTTCTAGCAGGAAGGAAAGAAGAAAGGGAGCTCTATCCGGGAGGGTTTAACCTCAGCTTGTACTCTACACAAGATTATACTAATATGTAAGATATGTAAACATTATAGAGCAATCAGAAACAAATGAAACGATGGATTCAGTTTAACAGTATTCAGCTGTGGTGCAACTGCCAGAAGGCACTTTTTGTTATGAACAGATCACTTGGATGAGTTACAGACCTGATTTCAACTCTGGCGTGCGCTCGGAAAATCAATGTCAAACTATCCAGGATCAGAAGGCATCAGGAGCACATCTGGCAGGCCACAAAAATGTTAAAGGGCTATAAAATACAAAATACTATGTAGAGCTAAGCTATGGTACCAAAGGACCAGTTTAAACAGTGCTAGCATGAAATTTGTAATGTATTTAGTTTGGCTTAAACCCCCACCCAAAAAAAAAAAAGAAAAAGAAAAAGAAAAAAACAACTCAATTGCTGAAGTTTATGTGGAAGAAATGCACTACTTACCAATTATAGTTAAAGCTAACTTGAAACTAATGTAAGTGGAATCACTGGAGTCATTGTCTTTAATCCAAACTAAGCTTGTGTAAGTTTTCAACACTGTCATTTGGTACAGACGATGAATGGAGCAGAACAGACTTCTG